GCAAGAGGAGTGGGATCAGTTTTGAATAATTGGGTTGTAACAAAGGGTGTTGAACAACCTTTGACATTATGCATGCCAAGTTGATCAAGGAGATCAAATATATATTGTTGTTGAGTAAGGAAGAGAACCCAAGGTGTATGAGTGACCTAGAGACCAAGGAAATAGGAAATCTGACCAAGGTTTTTTTCTGAAAATTCATGTTGGAGAGATGAGATAATGTATTAAACTGTCTGTTGAGAAGAGTTAGTGATTATGATATCATCCGCGTAGACTAGGAGAAAAGTAGTAACAGTATTGTGTTTGTATATAAATAGAGAGTGTCTACTTTAGAACCATGAAATCTCATGAAGAGAAGGAAGGAATGAAGCTGTTTAAACCAAGCCCACATAGATTGTTTAAGGCCATAAAGGAATCGAGCGAGCTTGCAAACATCATATGGTTTGAAGGGATCAATAAATCCTCGCGGCTGGTCCATATATATATATATATCTTTATTTAGTAAGTAATGTAGAAATGCATTAGAGACATCGAGTTGTTGAAGCAGCCAACTGCGAGTAGTTGCATAACAAAATGGTCTGAATGGTAGTTCTTTTTATCACTGGACTGAAAGTCTCATGGAAGTCGACACCAGATTATTGGTGAAAGCCTTTGGCTACCAATCGGGCTTTGTATTTGATAATGGAATCATCTGTTTTTTTTTTTTTTTTGTAAACTCATTTATTTCTGACGATATTTGTAGTAGGTGGTTTGGAAACTAAGGTCCAGGTATTTGTACGTTGAAGTGTTACAAGTTCGTCATGCATGGCTTATTGCCATTCAGGAAAAGGCTTAGCTTGGGAGTAGGTGGTAGGCTCATTTTAAAGATAATCAATTTTATGAGAGAATTTAGACGTAAGAAAGGAGGAGCATTTTATGAGAGAGGTGGGACGTAGTATCATGGGATGGGTTCAGGTAGGTGGAGAAGGACGAGGAGGAGGGGGATCAGATGGTAGCTGGGAATTGGATAAGTTTGAAGAATTTAAATTAGTAGGAGGGGATAAGGTATTTGCATTAGTAGGAGGAGGGGAGGTAAGGGATGGATTTGAATTTTGAATGGGTGGATAAGAGGGAGAGTGTAGATGGTTGGATTGTGTTGGGGTTATAGGATGAGAATAAGTTACCAAGACAGTGGGATTGAGATGATGTGTTCCAAATATCATGCCATGTAAAATCAGGAGAAAAAGTTAAAACTGATAAAGAGTCTTTTTGTGACTAGAAAGAAAATTATTGTCATGAAGATGACATCGCGGGCAACGTAAATACATCCAGACTCCTTCTCCAAGCATAAGTGTCCTAGATGATTGGGTCAAGGTCCCAAATAAACAGACTTTTAGCTACGAAAGGAAAAATTGTGGCGATTGTAGGGTCAAAGTAAGGGGAACATTATGGAGCTCAAGATATGGAGGTTTCTAAAA